TGTTCTTGACTACAGGAATCTCGTGTTCAGCATTTCCTATCTTGGGGTCTGCCTCCCGTCTCATTCTTTTCTGCTGTGACTCTCTTCCTTCTTGTTTCTTTATTTTTCTATGTATTGAATTTATTGGGGTGACACTGGTTAACAAAATGATACAGGTTTCAAGTGCACAGTTCTACAACACATCATCTGTACACTGTATTGTGTTCACCACCCCACGTCAAGTCTCCATCCATCACCGTCTATCCCCATCACCTCCCCACCTGCCCCCATCCCCTCCCCACAATCACCACACTGCTGTCCATATCCATGAGTTTTTTTCTCTTTTTACTTTCTTCTTTGTTCTATCCCTCCACCATCTCCCACCTGACCCCCTTCTTGTTTCTTTTCTTTAACTAATGGCACCACCACCAATGCCCTTAGATAAGCTAGAAACCCGGACTTAGCCTCACTTCTTCCCCTTTCCCTCCCTCACTTCCATGCAGGCACTGAGGTTTCCTCCTGTACTAGCTCTCAAATCGCCTGCTCCCCGTGGTGAGTGCCTCGCCCCTCCCGTGTGCCCCTTCTCCACTGCTGTTACCGTCTTTCTCAAATCAAGTCTTATCATGCCATCACCAGTGGCTTCATAATTCAGCCCCTCCTGCCCTTTGTAAGTCCCTGGAGACGGCTGTGACAACGCCACGCACCTGCTATCTTCAGACAATGATAGTTCTGGAGGCCAGAGCTAGAAATCCAGGTGTCCGCAGGGTTGGTTCCTTCCTGAGGACAATCAGTTCCTGCCTCGGGGGACAGTCAGTTGTGTGCCTCTCTCCTAGTTTCCGGTGGCTGCTGGCAGTCCTGGGGTTCCTTGGCTCATAGATGGGTCATCACTCCAGTCTCTGCCTCTGTCTTCACATAGCTTCTCCCCCGTGTGTCTGTGACTTCACACCGCCTTCTTAGAGGGACACCAGTCACTGGATTCGGGCCCACCCTCACTCCGCCCTCCTCTGAACGGATCACATCTGCAGAGGCTGTATTTCCAAGCAGTGTCCCAGTCCGAGGGTCCAGGTGGACATGAGTTTTGGAGGATGCTGTTCCACCCAGTATATATACCCTTCCAGCCTCGGCTCGCTGCTCCCCGATGGGCTCACTCATTCTCTTGGTGCCGGGTGGGTGAGAGTTCACCGAGCAGACCAGGAGAAAGGATTCCGGCAGAGGAGAGGGCATGTCTGAAGGGCCACAGAGAAGGTGAAATTCGAGCTCAGTCTTAATTTAATAATGCTTTATTTTATGTATTTGGGGGGGGGGCGTAGTTTTGTTTAGTTTTTGCCTCAATGTACTTGACAGCACGGCTCAGACGTTATCTCTCACAGAGCCTTGCTTGACCTCCCCAGGACATCTCTGTTCCCTCGGGCCATCACTCTTATGTTTTGATTGGTTAATTATTCTCTTGTGTCTTTACCTGGCCTGGGGCAGACTCTGTAGCTTCCTCTGTGGGGCCCCACTTTCAGCCCCTGCCCAGCGCCTGGCAGGTGCCCAGGAGATGTTTTTGAGTGAATTGATCCATCTGCTGTTAGACTTGATCACAGACGTTTTAGGGAGGAGCTGTTAGTCCTCATTGGACAGTTCTTCGCCTTAGATGAGGCAGAGGGTGTTTGAACCAGTGGGAGGTTATACCGGATCCACTCTGTGGTTCCCTCTGTCTGGGGGTTCTGTTGTTCTGCCTACAGCCCTTTCAGGAAAAAACAATTTTCTAAGGCAGATAGACTGACAGTCGTGCCAGCTGCCGGTCCCACGGTGCCTGCAGAAGCTTCGTCGTCAGGGAAGAACTCGGTGCTGCCACAGGCACAGTGGGGCGCAGAGGTCAGAGCTGCGGGTGCCGAGCACCTCAGGCCCCATCTGGAGACAGAGCTGTGGACGGAGTCATTCCGTCCAGCAGAGGCCGTCATAAAACTCAGCAGATTTTCCATGTTCCCTAATTGGATAAAAGGATTTAATGACTATAATTTAATGCTTTTTCACTTGTATTTTAGTTGAGTTAATTTTAATACCATCTTGTTACAGATTCACTGAAAGTCACCTTTTTATTTTTGATGGGAAAAAACAAGAGGTTTAACTGGAGAACACCATGAAATTGGAGCATTCAACTACACTTCTTTTATTATTTTCTTTTTATTGACTCTAGAGAGAGAGGAAGAGAGAGGGAGAGGGAGATAGTAACATCAGTGAGAGAGAACATGACTGACCACCTCCTGCATGCCCCCCTAGGGATCAGGCCCACAGCCTCGGCATGTGCCCTGACCGGGAATCGAACTGACGACCTCTTGGGGCATGGGTCAACGCTCAACCACTGAGCCACACCCGCTGGGCTCAACTACGTTTCTAAAGGGTGATCAAGGTACAAGAATATTTTAGGGGAAATTAAACACCCAATATGTAATACCATTAAACATTCATTTTTCTAATTACATAAGCCATGCCGAGCTTCTCACTGGTACTAATTATTACGTAAAGTGGGCATGTTAGGAAAACTGCCACGGAGTGCAGTCACTGTTTAATTCAGAACAGTCTGAGGTAAATGTTATTGTTCAGATGGCTTTGACACGCGAGTGTGCCGTAAGAAGATTTCACATCCCCGAGTTAGAAACAGTTCCCTCCGTGGTTCTCAGAGGAAGTGCCTGGCTCTCTTGGTTATGGACACAGCAGGGGTGTTTGATACAGTGGGCACTGTCCGAGTGGGCAGGGACAGAAGGAACCCTCTGCTCACTGCCGCCAACCCTGACTTATGCGGCCCGTGTTCAGCTGGTCACTGCCTCTGTGTCAGTGTGTACAGCCGTTTGCACGTTGGGTTAATGATTTGGAGAGAGCCCACCCAGGGTTCCCATGCCACCCCTCGGTGACGCGGCTGTGTTGGTGGGAGGGCTTGGCAAGCTCAGAGCCATTTGATTTCTCTCTTTCCCCTGCAGCAGGGGTCCCTAACATGGGGTCTCTGACGGCATGGGGATTTGTATCTGGGATGGGAAACACGTCAAGCTTTATTTTTTATGAACCTCTAACTAAAATGTAACATTAAAGTGTATGTGTGCGCTACAACCCATACTGGTATTAGCGGTATTTATGACTGTCACCCACAGGCATCACAGATAACTAGGAGTTCCGCCCTCACTACTTCAGAGTTACTGTTGTTAGGCCATCTCTTAGAGTCTATGAAATATGTTAATAAAGAATCACATGCAAAATTGTTCGACGTATTTATGCATTTTATATATATATATATATATATATATATATATATATATATTTAAATAAATATGCAACCGAGGTACGTGCCCTTAGCGGGAACCGAACCCAGGTCTCTCTGGACCACAGGCCAACGCTCTAACCGCTGAGCCAAACCGGCCAGGGCTATTTATACATTTTAAAATAGTGTTCTCCATAGAAAACAAGGAAAGATTCAGGGGCTGTCCCAGAACCAAGAAGACTTGGGACACATGACAGCTGAGTACAGTGGGTGCCCTGGCCTGGCTCTGGGAACAGAAAGGAGGCAGTCACGGGAACAGTGGAGAAATCCAAGGAAAAGTCTGGAATTAGTGCCTAGTCATGTGTCCATGACGGTTTCTTAGTCTGCACAGTTGTGCCGTGGAGGTATAAGATGGTGACAGTGGGGACAGCTGCATTAGGGTGTTCGAGAGCTCGCTGTGCCCTCTGCTGCCCGCTCCCGGAGGTGTGTGGGGTGGAGGTTTTGTGTCGACCGGGGTCTCTTCCTGTTACAGCTCCGAGGGACTGTGGGGAGAGAGCAGTCCTACGACAGGGAGAAGTTTTCCAAAGAAGTGAAATAACTTGCAGTGCGTTGTGGTGGGATGGGCATGGCTTCAGGGTCAGAGGCTTCATACTGTGTCACCAGCTCAACACTGCTGTGGACTTCCTCTTCCCCATCAATAACGGCCTTGCCAGGCTCCCCGTGAGGGTGAAAGTTAACATGCCCATTAGGAAGCCCTTTGTTGTTTTTGGCTGCTATGTTTTTAGTGCCTATTACATGCCAAGCACCATGCTAAGCATTTTTTTTTATATACATTATCTAAGTTAATCCTCAGAATACCTGTATTACATGACCATTTCATAGATATGGAAACTGAGGGTCAGAGGCTCAGTGACCTCACTGCCCAAGGCCACTAAGCTGAGCTGAAATTTAGCCCTGCGCAGACTGTAGTTCATGGACTTTGTTTCCTCTCTTGAGGCCAAGCCTCTCCTGACCCCCCGGCAGATCTGGTTCCAGGGTGCGCTTCGCGCTCTCCAACTTCTGAACCCTCTCTTGTTGGCTTTGCACACCTGTCCCCCTCCGGATGCCCTCCCCCTCCCACATGATGCCCTCGTGGTTGGCTTCTCCCAGTGAGATTGTCCAACCATAAAATGAGTGCGTGGGGCCATGTGCAGGTCCGTCCCAGTATGGAAGGCTTGTTCCCCATTCTGTGACTTCAGCTTCTCCTTCAGGGTTTGATGGGATGATTACTGAACCCCTGAAGCCCAAGGTCTTCTCGTTTGTTTCGAGGGAAGTGATGCATTTCTGTGTCAGTCTCCCAGACGCCGGGGCAGGGAGGGGGAGAGCTCTAACCCTCGTGACCTTCCTAAAACCACAGCAATTTAAGAGAGAGCCTAGCAGAGGCGACTGTGACGCTGACCTCTTCCTTGACTGGGATTCTGTGGAGGGATTACTCAGAGGACGTGGGAGTACTTGTGTTTTTGGTTTCCTTCTGTGATTAAAGAAAGGAAACACCACGTGTCACTGTGTAGTGGCCACTCATTTCCAGTTCTGTTGAAAGGAAGGAGAAAGGTAACTATCCATATCAGATCCTATCTGGACAGTGAACTGAGCCATAAGAAGCCATTATTAGGTAACGAGCCTGATTTCCACCCTCGCCGAGCGTGCGTTTGTCTGAAACCCAGGAAGCCAGAGCAGCAGGGGTAGGGGCCTTCGGTATGGGGGAGGGGCCGGTGATCCCATGGCTTGTTCTCCTGTGTTTCAGTTTTTCCCCTACATCCTGCTGCTGGTTGCCATCCTCCTGTACCTGCCCTCCCTGTTCTGGCGTTTTGCCGCTGCTCCGCATATCTGCTCAGATTTGAAGTTCATCATTGAAGAGCTTGACAAGGTTTACAACCGCGCGATTAAAGCTGCAAAGAGTGTGCGTGACCCCGAACTGAGAGGCGGCATCGGCCCAGTTCCCAGTTCGAATGAGAACGTGGGGCAAAGGTAACAGTCCCTGCACGTGCCAAGTCAGCTTTCGTAGTACACAGGTCCTCTGCCCTTTTCCTGCCCGTCTGGCTTCGGATTCCCATTGCCAGCAGGTGCGGGGCCGTCACCCACTCATCCCCCTGCTGACACGTTGTGGGAGCCAGGGAGGCTCACCCTCACCTCCTCACCTGTATGTCCCAGCACCCGCCCTCACATCAAGAGTCCCCTCTTGTCGAGTGAGACATCACTGTCTCATGTTCTAAAATGCAGTTCTAGAAGAGGTAACAGGTTGTGGTACTAGGTGTCGCCTGCTGGCTTTGACCTACACCTCCATGGAGAAGCACAGAGGATTCTGAGGCCGCTGAGCTTACAAAGCAGGTGTAAGAGAAGTGGGGAATAAGTAGGCAGTGCCCTGCCTGTTTTACGTTCTTCCTCTGGTTCTTGTTATTAACAACAGTAAAATATTAATAGCTCTCATTTTAAAAATAGTTAATATATCCCGGACATCTTGTTGAGTGCTCCCAGTACATTATCTCATTTAACCCTCAGAGCATCATTATCCACTAAGGGTATTTATTTATTACCCCCTCCCCCTTGCAGATAAAAACACTGTCCTGTAGCAATCAGTGGGCGAGATGGGACCTGAACCAGGTCTGTCTGCCCACAGCCTGAGCCCACACCCACTGAGCAGCCTGCCTCCCGTCCCTTGCCAACAGGAAGCACGTGTGTTCTAGCTGGGCTGACAATTCTTTTTTACTTTATTCTGCACACTTGAGCAGAAAATTGCAGTGTTTTTTTTTTAAAGCAGAATAAGATATATCAGATTTATTTACCAAACATGTACTTTTCCTAGGTACCAAGTGTTCTAAGAATTTACAAATGTAACTCATTTAACTAAGTAGACTTTAAAAAGAAATAATAGAGGGAAAGGTGTTTTATTATTGCTTTTTTTTTGTTTGTTTGTTTTTTATCCTCACCCGAGGACATTTTTCCATTTTTTGCACAGATAGATTGGGAGGGAGAGAGAGGAAGAGAGAGAGAAAGAGAGAAACATCGACGTGAAAGAGGCACATTGAGTGGCTGCCACCCGCACGACCAACCAGTGCCGGGGACAAACTGCAACCGAGGTACATGCCCTTAGCGGGAACCGAACCCAGGTCTCTCCAGACCGCAGGCCGATGCTCTAACCGCTGAGCCAAACCGGCCAGGGCTATTATTGCTTTTCATTCTTTCTTTTTAAAATCTAATTTGAGTCTCTCATACTCAAGTGAAGTTTTAAGCAGAGGAGTTAGGGAGGGAAGGCATTTGAGATTTTTAGTGTGATAGTTGAATGTGTTTATGTCTCTAATATTTGATGGTGCTGGTAAGGGTTTAAATTATTTTAATTTCTTTCTTTTTCACTTTAGTTTGTGGGAGATATCTGAAAGCCACTTCAAGTACCCAATTGTGGAACAGTACCTGAAGACAAAGAAGAACTCCGGTAACTTAATCATCAAGTACATCAGCTGCCGGGTGCTGACACTCAGCATTATACTGTTAGCATGTGTCTACCTGGGCTATTACTTTAGCCTGTCCTCCTTCTCGGATGAGTTTGCCTGCAGCATCAAGTCAGGGATCCTGAGAAATGACAGTGGAATCCCCGACCGCTTTCAGTGCAAACTCATCACCGTTGGCGTCTTCCAGGTGCTCAGTTTCATCAACCTCGTGGTTTACGCCGTGCTGGTTCCCGTGGTTGTCTACACGCTGCTTGTTCCGTTCCGGCAGAAGACAGACGTCCTCAAAGTGTATGAGATCCTGCCCACTTTTGATGTTCTGCATTTCAAGTCTCAAGGGTACAATGACTTGAGCCTCTACAACCTTTTCTTGGAGGAGAATATAAGTGAACTCAAGTCATACAAGTGTCTTAAGATCCTGGAGAATATTAAAAGCAATGGTCAGGGCATCGACCCACTGGTTCTCCTGACCAACCTCAGCACGATCAAGACGGATGTCATCGATGGCAGAAATCTCAAGCAGCCTGAGATGATGGGAGGGGAGCAGGGGAATCAGACAGCGGAGCTCAAAGGTAGGGTTAGCTCTCAGGTTTTGGCTGAGGGAACCCCCAGAGGGTCTTTCAGGTGCCTTTATGAATGATTGACAGTGTTTGCCATACCCACCATCGGGCATTAAGCCATTTCCTAGTGTGGTCTTAGGTGAAACCCTTCAGTACTGGGAGAGAGAGGGAAAGAACTGGGGCTGCCCCAAATTTCCAAAGAAGGAGAGCATCTGCGTTTTCTCTAGACTGTTCTCTCTTCCTGCTCCTCATTCTGTTTCAGACTCTGCCTCTCGCTCAAGCCTTCCTCCTGGCTGTCGTTCTCTTTTTTTGCCTTGTTTTATTGGCTTTTCTCCCTGTACCCCTGATCCTTCTGTCTTTCATTCTCTGTCTCTTTCCAAAGGGAATGAGATGTGTTGGTTTAATCGTTGCCCTGACCTAACTTCGCTGTGCAGTGAAATCTGGCCAAGAAGCTCTGTCTGGGGAGGCAGAACAGGAGACAGCTCACGGCGGAGGAGAAGGTACTTTGTGCTGTGTGACTTCTGTCCTAAATATTTGCTTTCATTTTGACAGATTTGAATGTACACAGTGAGACGAAAGCAAATAATGGAGCGAGGAACGCTCGACAGAGACTTCTGGATTCCTCCTGCTGATGAGTTTTTTAGTGAACTTGGGATCCGTGACTTCTGCGACGTGGGATTCATTTTGGCTAAAGTGCCTCTGTCCGGTTTCAGCTGGTTCACAGTAAATGGTTCCTGGTAGAGGCAGCACACGACTTCCTGAGGAAAATGATGGTAAAAAAGTGTTGTGGAAGAACCGTTCCTGCACTTCTTTGAGAAGCAACGCAGAGAGAAGCCACAGCGAGTACGTCAGTTCTCGTCGGATGAACAGTGGAAAGACCTAGTGTCTGAAAGAAACACCTTTCTGTGCAGATGGTGTGACAAGACTGAGCTACTGGGAAGCAAGGACTGCAGAAGATTTCTGTTTTGTTTCATGGAATAACAATAAGCATGTCAGGATAGTTGGCTGTGAACCTCCTGCATGCCCTAGTGACTGCGGACAAGAAAACATCACGGGCAGGGACCCAGGGGTGGGCCTGCCCTGGGCCTTGTCCTCAGGGGCGCGTGCTGGGGCCTCGGTCCCTGGCTCTCCACACTGCTGCCGGAGCCTGGGCCGGCGGCAGCCCGCTCCCCCTGCTCGTTCCGTCTGTTGTGCAGGACGCAGGCCCGGGCGCTGCTCTGACACGTAGTTTATAAGCTAGAGACTACAGGATGTTGAGTTGTGACTACTACACAGGGAAGAATGCTCCTGAAAGAGCCAGAACACGTTGATTCAGGGGTGCTCTTTCAGGGGTGTTCTTCAGCACGCTCCTCTGTGAGCAAAAGCATCTGAACAGGATATTGCTTAAACAAGTGAACCGAACACAGGATGCTTGGAGAGAGGGACATTTTACCTACTCTGATCAGAACATGTGAATGACAGCTGCCACACAGTGTGCCTGGAGCCGGAACAACTTAGCACTTTGTGTTATTTATCTTTAAGCACATCTTTTACAGATCTGCTTTCATTCAGAATTGAGACCATTCTGGAAGAACGTTCTAACACTGATGGAGAATTATAGGATAAATGTTAAAGATGGGCATGTATTATAAATCCGAGCACTGTTTAATAAACAGTTAAGGCTGACTCAGAATATATAAAAACTTGAACCAATTCTGACCATGTAAATACAGCGTAACTATGTTTACATTTTATACCAACTTCTAAAAAATGGAGGTCTGTGGACCTCCTTCCCATTTTTATTCGTAGGAAGGTAACACACTGCTAAGGAGTAATCCTCAGGAACCTCGAAGTTTACATGGCGCTCTGAGGGACAGCTGTTGACCTGACCTAGTGACAGTCCTGTGAAGAACAGAAGTTGTATAAACTGTTCTTTGTCTTCCAGAATATTCACAAGAGCAGGTTTTAGTCGTGCTTCTGTGATGGCTTCTGAGATGGACAGCTAAGGACAAATAATCAAGGATGCAATCTATGCTTTATATTATTCTTTTTTTTTTAATCCTCATCCGAGGACATTTTTGCACTTATCTTCAGATAGAGCGGGAGGGAGAGAGGAAGGAAGAGAGAGAGAAACATCAATGTGAGAGAAACACATCAAGTGGTTGCCACCCACACGAGCCCAACTGGGGCCAGGGACAAACTGCAACTGAGGTACGTGCCCTTAGCGGGAACCGAACCTGGGACTCTCTGGTCCGTGGGCCGATGCTCTAACCACTGAGCCAAACGGGCCAGGGTGATATTATTCTTATTACGAGATATTTATTACCATTAAATTATGGTGGGAATGGCAGTAACACAAATCACTGATTTTGCTACATGTTTATATTATTACATCTGAGATGTTTGGTCACAATTATTTGTTACTTTTTATCATTTGAAAAGATTTCTGAAATACATATTTTTCTATGATATGCTTTTCTTTCAGAAAGCCTCTTCTCTTCTACAGACTGTCCCTAATTTGTTCTTTGAAGTGGTAAAGTGGATACATTATTTAGGAGACCAGGAACCCTGTAAGTCCCTCATGTGTAATCCTTTCATCAGTAATAATTCCTGCTCTCTGAGCTCTGGTAGGGTCTGTGATGTCCGGACATCACACTGGTCACTAGCTGCATGGGTATGAGTAAGACAGGCCCCATCTTGGAGGAGTTCAGAGTCTAGTAGAAGGCAATGGAGACAGAGGCAGGTACCCAGGAGAAGAATAGCCACAAGAGCCCTTCCAGAGAACTCACAGCTCGTGTTCCTGGGAAACACCCTGTTGTTCTCCTCTTTCTCGCAGTTTCTGTTGCTGATGGTTCTGAGAGCCTAGTGACAGTTTTTCTCAGGCTCTTTAGCCATGTGTCCTCCAGGCTGAAGCCTGGACAAAACCTTAACATGGACGGTGGTTTTGAAGAGCAAAGAGCTCCAGTCACACGGTCATGGTGCCAGCAGGCTGATGTGCATGTCTGGGCATCATTTTCACTTGGAAAAAAGTTGTATAAGGGAAGTTAATCTACAAGTTATTAGCTTAGTGGACTGCTTTTGAGGATCCAGGTTCCTGAGGGTAAGGAGTAATTCATTGCTCTATAAAAGGAAACGCCTTAAATGACCACTGCCCCCTGGCCCCTGCAACCCCCCCCCCCCCCAGTAGTCCTGGACCTTGTCTCTGGCCCAGGTCTGCCGAGTAACCACCAGGAGGCCTCTAAACCAGACTCATAACACCCTGCTGCAGCTGGGACTGGGACCCCTCCCCATCATGCAGAGACCCTCCAATGCAGAGGTTCTTAAACTATTGGCAGGTTACAAACAGCCTTGAAAATATATTTTTTAAAGCTACGGACCTTTCTTCAGATACACACAAACAGTAAAGAAACCTTCCGCGGTCGGTCGTGGTCCACGCCACCAGGGCTGAGCTGTGTGCCGTAGCGGCTGCAGGCCGAGCCGCACAGCAGAGGGAGGCCCTGCTGCCCTTGGACAGCCGCTGCTCCCAGCAGGAAGTCTCGGCTGCATGTCTGCTCGAGAATAAAGTGCACCTTTCAAGCAACTGACTTCATTTTCTGGAGGCAGACCAGAAAGTTACAAGAATTGGCGTAGGGAGCCTGGATCCATCAGGCGGCTGGCATTGGGCACTGTTCTCTCTGGCCGCCAGGTGCTGCCTTGCTCCAGATCCGACTCGCTGTCCCGTGCAGCCTCATTGGGACACGAGGAGGGGCCGTAAGCCTTGCAAAGGGCTGTGTCGTCCTTTGTAGTGGTGCTGCGAGAAAGCTAGAGGCGTCCCAAGGTTGGTGGGTCTTGTTGCATATTCGTGTTCCATTTGTGGAGGCCAGCTGTTGGCTGAGTGTCCTTCCTACCCAGGACTGAGCCCAGGTGGACAGCAGGGCACTGCGGGCTTCGTTCCTGGGAGAATTAGCTCTTAGAGGCCGACGGTTGCACTTTTCAAAAAGCGCGCATGTTTGGTTAATTTTGCTGTTGTCAGCCCAGAGTAAATAGAAGGTCCGTGAGGGTGGGAGTGTGTCTGTACTGCTCTGTCTGAAGCTCCTAGAACAGTGACTGTCGTGTAACGGGCATTCTCGAACATTTGTTGAAGGCACGCACACACCGTTAGGATAACTCCTAGTTTGTTGGCAGTTGTGGCTTGATTTTAAAAGGCAGATGGTTCTCCACAGGAGGCAGAGGGGCAGGCCCATTTAGCTTCATGGTAGAGAGGGAACTACTTCTGCAGATGAATAGGTTTCCACATATAAGTGGTAACAGTGCTTAGCTTTTTATTGTGGAGTTAGTCGTGACCACTTTCCAAGTTCAATACAAGTTCAGTGTTGCCTCACCATGATTGGGGAAACTGAAGTTTTAAAGGTCCTAGTCTGCGTGGTTTCCCAGAATAACTTCATGGAAAGGATTGTTGATTGAAATGTGCAGTTGTGCCTGGCCGTGTGGCTCAGTGGTTGTCGACTCATGCACCAAGAGGTGGCCGGTTCGGTTCCTGGTCAGGGCACAGGCCTAGGTTGTGGGCCCGATCCCCCATGGGGGGCATGCAGGAGGCGGCCAATCAATGTTCTCTGTCATCAGTATTTCTATCTCTCTCTCCCTTCCTCTCTCTCTAAAATCAATAAAGAAAAAAACATTTAAAAAGAAAGAAATGTGCAGCTGTCAGTAATTGAGGTTTCATCTCAGGGCACTGAGATGAACTATCTCCTTCGGGGCAGTCTTTGGCCTGTGGTTGTGTTTTTCACAAGTCAAGTGAAACCTTTAAAGAAAGATGATACTGTGTTATCTGTGGAATATCATAAATTCATCTGTGATCGGCTTGTCTTGCCTGCATGAAATGAAATGTTTTGTGTTCTGGCTTGTCTTTTTAGCAGTAAAGATACTTTGTCACTTAAAGCATGTGGTTTGATCAGTAATTGTTATTCAAGTTCCTGAAAGTTACAAAGCAAAGCCTCGCATGCCTTGAGTGCTCTCCCCCGCCCACCAGAGGAGGATCCCCGTGGAGTTCGAGTCACGTGTTCCCTACGAACCCCGAAGCCCTCAGCTGCTAACAAGATGGCTTTTTAAAAGCATCACAAGTACAATTTACTGGTATTCTCTAAAGTGGTGTTGCTAGGTGTAATTTATTCTTTTTAATGACTAAATTTCATCAAAACTTTTACAGGAAAATGTGTATGTTCATTTTGCTGTGTCATTTGGTCAGAACGATGACCTCTACTCCACAAAGAGCAAAGGATGAGAACGTGTCATGGTTCAGAAACTGATCCTTAAACACGGCACAAGCACCTTGAAAGCTCTGGACCTGGTGGTTATCACTGCTGTATTTCATATTTCCACATATGTCAGTTGTCCAAGATCTGCCTTCTGATTATGCTGGTTTCGTTTAAGGAGGGATGGACAGCTACAAGTAAAGCTGTGGTGTCCACAGATAAAGGTGAAATGATGTTTTGGTCCTGCATTGTTGTGTCCACCCAAATAAAACTTCTCTCAGTAATGAAAATGTGTCTTAATAGCCCTTGCCTTCTCTTCAGGGAGGATACAGCAGAAGACGAGTCCTGAAATGTCCCGAGGCTCACTCCTTTCTGCTGGATGCATAACATTCGGTAGGCTCCATGGAACTCACTAAAATCCAGCTGGCAGCAAGGAAGAAAGCCTTGATTAAGGGCCTGCAGATTCTGGAATTTCTAAAGCAGAAATCACATGCTTTCTGATTGGGGATTGTTTGCCTGGGCTTGGAGAGGACAGAGTACAGGCTAGATGCTGCCAATCATGGTTGGCCTGCCCACTCCTCTCTAGAGGGGACTCCTTTGTACAATGGGCAGTTAACACAATCGACTGTTGTGGGTAATAAATCAGAGCCATTCGAAGCCTAACGACAGCGCCTGCCGTAGAGTGAGCACGCCATACATAGTAGCTACAGGTGTCATTGCTTCCTCCTGCTCCCCAGCTGTTTCCTAGGGTGGCACCCCAGGAACCTTGGAAGCTGTATTTGTTTTCTATCATTTGGTAACAAATTACTGCTGCCTCAGCAGCT